AGAGGTAGAGAGAGAGAGAGAGAGGTAGAGAGAGAGACAGAGAGAGAGACAGAGAGAGAGAGGTAGAGAGAGAGAGAGAGAGAGGGGGAAAGAGGGAGAGAGAGGGAAGAGGGAGAGAGAGAGAGAGAGAGAGAGAGAGGGAGGGAAGAGGGAGAGAGCCAGTTAGAGAGGGAGAGGAAGAGAGACATACAAACAGACAGACAGACAGACAGACAGACAGACAGACAGACAGACGGAGGCAGCTTTTGATGACGTAAACCGCCCTTTTCTTGTTGTCCTCTTGAATGGGAGTGTTGTTACAATTGTCTCCGTGAACTTAATCAACCTAGCAGCTTGGCCTTTAAGTTGTATCCTTTTCTTCTTCTAATCTGCACAATTTGACGTCAGTGCGTGAAAATGATAGGTTGAGCAACATTTCCTGCCAGTGGAGGGTTCACCTGTCGCTGGTTGTTCTCATTACAAACCAGCTATCCTCGAGCTATTTCTGCTCGTCTATCAAATGTCTCTTTGTCTGTTTGCTCGTCTGTGCTGTTGTGTGTGTGTTTGTGTGTGTGTGTGTGTGTGTGTGTGTGTGTGTGCGCGTGTGCACGTGCTCGTGTGTGTGTGTGTGGTGAGAGAGATACGCACACAAACGCACAAACGCAGAGAGAGAGAGAGAGAGAGAGAGAGAGAGAGAGAGAGAGAGAGAGAGAGAGATTGAGAGAGAGAGAGATTGAGATTTTGGCCTTAAAATGAGCATTGTTCTACTTGCAATTGCTTATTTTTTTACTGGTCCCTCTACTCAGCTCAAAATAATTCTTTTCCTTCCTTTTCTTTTCAGGCCAACAACGCATACATCCGAGACCAGTGGCTTCATTCCATACAGTGGAAGGTGAGTGAATGACCTGCCTTTTGTGCGTTGTAGAAAAATAGACGGATCTGATGTCACTTCAGCGAATATTTTTGCCCACTTTCACGTGATATTTGATTGGAAAGATGTATTTGCTGATCAGTTTCTATTTCTGTCAATGTTTTTTTTTAGTCGCTCTCCCTTTAATCCTTTAGTTTTGGTCTTTGCAGCTGTTGTTCTTAAGCCGAACCCTCTGTATGGCACTATGGGTTTAACTTCCCTTTCAATAATATAAGGCTTTCTAAGAGGCCTAGTTTCTGAATCTATAGTGCGGTCAAAAATTAATGGTGCAACTTATCCTCTAATATCTCTTTAAGTAGGCTTCGGCCGCCACCCGGGCACAATTCAAAATTTCCTACCAACTGAAAATATTAGGTGTGTCCCGCGCGCGCTCATATGACCTATGCAGTTGCGAACGCCGTAAAACACTTTACAAAAACAAAAGCAAAAATATCTCTTTAACGGGTGAATCAATGTCATCCATACTTTGCATAGCAGTTTGTATCAATTTGTATTAACTAAATCATATTTTTCTAGAACAATTGGGACTAGATTAAAAAACATTTCTTCATAAATTTTAATAAAATGCTTGAAATCTCTGTCACGCGTAAAATGGTATTGTTTACGGCACTTCCCCGCTTCTCACACACATTTTGATTACACATATTGCCTACGTCACAGCTCATCAATGACAATTTTTACTTGCAAAACTTGTTACAAGAAATTATTGTTATAGTGAACACATTTTTGCACTAATGGCTTTCAAAACATGCGTTCAATAAGCATAATGTCCCGATTAGAAAAACCTGACGGACTTGCTATTAAGAGGTATATTGCCCCAGCTGTAAACATTTAAAAATCTGTAGAAACCACCCGCTTGGGATTTTTATTAGTATTTATTAAGGAATTTTCTAGAATACAGCTTGCAGGTGTGAACAAAAATGTTGATCTGTTTAGACAAATTGATACTAGCCAGTGTGCAAAAATTGGAGAACCTGTGTTCGAAAGTTGAGAAGATATTTGAAAATAAGTCGCACCAAGAATTTTTGGCCCGCACTGTAGCGTCCATCTCCGATTGGACCGAGTCAAATGGGTAGAGATCTAGACGGTCAGAGATAGTATAAGAACGTATAGGTAGAGATCCGTATACACCTAAGTTAGTTCAGAACGCCCCTTTGGGAATTGAAATCAGGGCCACCCGCTCCGACGTCCAGCGTGATTATAAATACCAACTCTGCTAAACGACACGGCCGTCTTTTATGTCGAAAATGAGGTCGTCGAGATTTGTGACACTGTTTAGTGACAGCAGAGAGGGTTTAGTGACAGTGACGGCGATAAAGAGGACAGCCAGAAGAACAAGAGCAATTATTGCAACTATTTTGGATGAAAGGCGAGAAGAAAAAGCTTGAATATTGAATTATGACTTGTGCTTGATCCCCATTGGGGAGGAGGAGGAGGAGGAGGAAGAGGAGGAGGAGGAGGAGGAAGAGGAGGAGGAGGAGTAGGAGTAGGAGGATGGAGCTCTGACGTCTTTTTCCTATTCTTTTTTTACTCGTAGCGCCATCTGGTTGAGCTGCTGAACCCGATGCGGAAAAACGAGGATGTAGAATACAGAGGGGAAACAAAGTCAACCCCCCCCCCCCTCCAACCAAACAAAACAAACCCGGACTGTATGAAGTTAAAATGTCGTTTAAAAATTTGGCACCACGAAAGGCCATCTCCATTATGATGTGCGTAATATTGTACAGAATGATCGGGTGTCGGGCGAGTGGGCGGCGCCCATAATAAACGTAGGTCTCACGAGTTTCCCCGCCCGGTGGAAGGAAGGCTCGCGCCTCCTGGTTTGCAATTAATGTGTTGTTTTACCGCCAGCTACCGTGCGCGGAAACAGTATAGGCTAGGGTGTTCTGGGCGGGTTAATTACTGGAATTAGCGCGCTCGTTTGTCAGAGCCGTTTATCGTTGTTAGTGTTTGAGAGTTACTGGTGGTCCGCACGACTCGTGCTGTGGTGGTTGGGGGGGGATG